TAGGTTCCTTTCTCCCCCCCCCAGAGTGGAGTTAAAAGTTGTTTTATTTACATTTTCTCCATTGCTATCCTCGCCCTGTCTCCATGGCTGAGATTATCAATCTTGATGATTTCAACCAATGCTTTCCCATAGGAAAACGTTGGGAGACTATTGCACATGAGCGGTAAATCGCTGCACTGTGTCCATCAGTAAATGTGCACTGAACCAATGCATGTTTATGGGGAACGTTGAGCATCTCCATGCAGGGCGTGGAGATGCTTTAAGCAGGTGCCGCACACAATCGCGGCACTGTGTCCATCAGCATCTCCTCGTAAATGTGCACTGAACCAATGCATGTTTATGGGGAACGTTGAGCTTGCTTTAAGCAGGTGCCGCACACAATGCAACATTGAAATAGGAAGCACCTCTAGTTGCCATTAGGCAGCAATATAATTACTGCATTTTCCCTGAAGGCAGCATTTACATTGCTGACCCTACAGGGACCACTACATGCTACAAGCTGTAGTGGTTCTAGTGACTGTAGTGTCCCTTTAATAAATTAATTGAGATTACATTGCTATGGCCCTGGAGTTTTCCTTTTAACATGCAATGCTGAAATCTAATATACATAGTGTATTCATAGAATTACATCTACCAGGTGACCATCCAAGATGCCCCATTCCTTAGCTATGAAGAACCATTATGGGTCAAAGTTCTAAAAGTGGAACAAACAGCAGGAACATTCCATTATTTTCCACGATGACTGCCCCATATTTTTACCTGCTAAATAAACATTGTGTATCAAACATAAATTGTTAAGTAAACTTCTGTCTTCAATAAACACTAATGCAGAACAGCAAACATGTAATTTAATACCTAATTAAATCCTGCAATCCCATAAGGCTGCGGAGGCGATCCTTGCACACATGGTAATCTCAAACTCTGTCGTTCGTTACGTCACGAGACTGTACGGTAAATAAATTCAAGTGGATCTATAATCATATATTAAAATGGGCTCTTGTTTTCCTGTAATTCAAGCTTTCGTTCCATTACTGGGTATGATCTTTATATGTTGCTTGTGTTGAAGGTGACATTGTGATGTGGTTTGAGTACCAGTTACTTAATAGAGATTTATTATTTGGTCTTTCTGTAAAACGATGCTTGTTCCCATGAGCCATCACGGCTAATTTCATAGAAATTCTAACACTTTCAAAAAACATTTTAAATTTTTTTTCAAAAAGAATCTGTCCTCACAAACAGCTCAAAAGTCACAGTGCCTGAAGACAGCCTGGTAGTTACTGTCTGCTTATCTATGTGAATAACAAACAATGACAGGATTGTGTTGAAATCATGAACTGACCATTTTCACTTCCAAAGTGGATCTTAGAGAAATAGCTTCTGCTCATAATTACTCGTCCACTGTATAATCGCTAAACAGAAGTGCTGCTAATTTAACACCAAGCCCCCCCACCCCATTTAATTAATAAAATAAACTCCAGTTTATACTGACACAATCTCCTCGATGCAGCCCAATCCATTCTTGCCGAGATCATCACTTAAAGGGACTCTCCAGGAAGCAGTTTTTACTCACCTGGTTCCAGCGCCGGGAGCCTCGTGAAGCCGCGCCCCCTACTTCAGAGGGCGACATTCATGCCGCCCTCTGAAGTCCTGAGTGCACTACCGACTGACTGACAGCTCAGCTCGCGGTCTTTGCCAGCCCCCCTCCTCTGCTGACAGGCAGAAGAGAGAAGTCGCGCACACAGTGCCTTCTCTCTCCTGCACACGTCAGACGTATCTTAATACGTCTGACGTGTACAGGGCCTTTTTAGGGCCCTGCATGATAGGAAGTCCCTCTGGTGGCCGTCTGAGTGACGGCCACTGGAGGTATTCCTATCAATCGATGTAAACACTGTATTTTCTCTGAAAATACAGTGTTTACATTAGATTGCCTGCAGGGAGCTATAGATCTCACCTGAACAACTATATTAAGCTGTTGTTGTTCAGGTGACTGTAGTGTCCCTTTAAGACGATCTGCTGTACAATCCAATGCTTCTCATAAAAAAAGTATTGGGGACCTATTTTTTAATATGACGCAATTGCCATACTCCGCCAGTCTAATGCTCCTCAATTTGACAGTGCAACTAAGAATTTTTAAAATAAGACAGATTGGATCTTCTGTCAACCCATAAAACATATCAGCAAGCTGATAGGAGTCTGGGGTGTTCCTTTAACCCCTTAAGGACACATGACATGTGTGACATGTCATGATTCCCTTTTATTCCAGAAGTTTGGTCCTTAAGGGGTTAAGAGGTCTGTGTCATCTTCGCCATATCTGGTATATTATTCTTGTACATGGTGTACTAATCTGGTAATGTACTATGTGTCTTTCTATTTGTATTTTGTTTTTTTTTTATTATATGGTCCATGGTATTGTGATGCTTACCTTTTTTGTCTTTTTTTCCCTACTATAGACTGCAAGCTATTATTTAAAGGGTATTTTACTATCTGTTGCTCGAGATTTGCGTGGCTGTATTTTATATTTGTTTCCTTGTTTTCCTATAGTCTGTAAGCATTGCACTACTATTCCCAAACCAGCTGGCACCTAATCACATTGACATATTTTTTTTTTTTTTCAAGGAAATGCATTTTTGTGTTTATTCCCACACTTTGGTCTACTTTTCCTGCATTTATGTGTGTTTTATGTTAGGCTTACCATCAGAGGCATTACAAGCAAACATTTGTTTTTCTTTTCTTTTCTTAGAACCCTGATATATGTAATAATACATCATTCCACTATGTATAGGTGCATGTGTGACTTTTACTGCTCTTTAGTCTATATTGGGACAAAACGTTTAACTTTTGAATCTGATTCTTACAAGATTATTCAGTAAATTCATGTGAAATCAAAGTGAGTTTCGAATTTTAGGCAAACCATAGCTACTAACTTGGAGCATTTTTAAAGTTTTGCTGTTTTTGGCCTAAAATTTGAAAGTCACTTAGAATTCTTACCGTAGAACCCCTTGTGTTCCTGAAGTAAAGTTCTATGAGTACTCACAATGTTTCTACATATAAAGCAGGATAAAGGAATGCACTCACTGGTCATTCTTCAAGTTTCTTCAGGTTTCAGTTTCTTCAAGCTTTGTTTACATCGTAACCTCAATGGCTCATGTTTAAGTATTGCAGGCTTGTGGGAGATTTGATTATTTTCTGGCAGTGGGTTCCACAGTGGTGGAGCTGTATGAGAACATTGCATGACCCACTCCCTTGTTGAGATGGAGTCTGGTGTTGGAAGTGGACTCGAGTACATTAACTTGGTACCCGTTACGTTTCTTGCTATAAAAATGTTTTGTAATTTTGCTGCAGTTTTCACAAAGTCCACATGGGTTTGATTTTCTCATCTTTCTCCCTTCATCATGAATTTTATATTTTCACTAACTATATTCTTTCTGTGTTGATTTTTTTTTTTACACATTAATTTGGTTTTCTGGATTGTTACCCTCAAGGCAAAGTTAAAGAGATCCTATAGTGCCAGGAAAACAAAGCAGTTTTCCTGGAACTGTAGGTTTAAAAGGTGCCCCCCTACCTAGCTTACCTGAATCCAGCGCCGATGTCACTTGGTGCTGGGTCAGGCTCAGCCGATGCTCCTTCCCTAATAACCAATAATGGCCGACTTAGCATTTCCCCCATAGGAAATCATTATTCAATGCTGCCTATAGAGAAAATCTGACTCTGGAGGTCCTCATGCAGAGCGTGAGGACATCCAGCTTCAGATAACGGACCAAAGGTCCGTTACGATTCCGAAAGCGCCCCTCGAAGAGTGCAGACTTAGAGCTGCAATGTAAACATTGCAGTTCTCTGAAACAGAAGTGTTTTTCATTGCAGCACTAAGGGCAAAAGGGCCACAGCACACAGACCACTTCAATGAGCTAAAGTGTTCTGGGTGCCTACAGTGTCCCTTTAAATCGATTATTTAAAAAACATTTTTTTTTTTTTACTTTTTGAGCAAGCCAAGCTGTCAGTAGATATACAAACCAACACATATTTTTGATCGCTCTGTGGCATATCTAGACATGTCTTTAATTTATATTCTGATCTTTTCAAATCTACATGAT